ACAAACCACTGCCCACCAAATTGGAATGAGCCTAGTGACAATGGAGGATGGTGCAATCCTCCACGCGAGCATTTCGACATAGCCAAGCCTGTCTTCCTCAATATTGTTTCCGAGCACAAGGCCGGCATCGTGCCGGTAGAATACCGAAGAGTTCCATGCAAGAAGAAAGGAGGAATGAGGTTTACAATAACTGGGAACCCTTATTTCAATGAAGTGTTGGTTTGGAATGTGGCTGGCTCTGGGGATGTGACGAGTGTGGAAGTGAAGGGTGAGAAGCTTCCATGGACGTCGCTGGAGCGAATGTGGGGTCAGAGGTGGGTCACTGGTGCTAAGCTTTATGAGGAGGCACTGACATTTAGGGTTGGAGAGAGTGATGGAAGAACCATAACCTCTGTGAATGTTGCCCCCAAGAATTGGCAGTTTGGCCAGACCTACGAAGGCAAGAACTTCGACTAGCTCGGAAAAGAAACATGTCATGAGTTTTAATGCTTTCGACGGATGTCAATGAAGAAAGTTCTGATGTTTTTTTGCTATATTTTCTTTTACATACAATTCAGTGAATTCACAGTTTGTTAGTTGTGAAATTAAATAAATACGAAGAGTAACGAAGACCCGCTTGGTGTCATTATTACTGTTTCATTTATTCATAATTTGCTTCTTCTATTTTTCTAGACATTCACTGCCTCACATCTTCCAAGAAAAAAATATCGTTTAGTTTAAATGTGACCACCTAGCTATTGGTTTGGTGATATTTCTTTCCACCTAGCTATGAGTTCAAACCCTCATCCCCAATTTTATTTTATTTTTTTTAAGATCTACCATGTAAAAATTAAAATTCATAGTTTTTATGTATAAACTATCTCTATCATATTTACGTATCACATTGTGAATCACATCTCTATTCTCTAAGATGCAGTCTATAATGCGGTACATATAGCATTATACTCTAATTTCTTAGTGTAACACACCAAATTCCATACCAATATGATCTCAATTAGGATATACTACTTATTCTCCAACAATCAAATCATTATCAAGACTAATGATTTTGATGAATAATGCAGGGGTAGCTTGGATACGAGGACGTGGTAAAAGAAGGATATGGAAACAGCAGCATTGAACGAGGCATTGTTCAACAAAGGGCAGGGATGCGGGTCATGCTACGAGATAAAATGCGTGGACGACCCTAAGTGGTGCAAGCCA